GGACGAGGGAGGGGGCTAGGGTGTAGTGGGCGTGGGCGGGGTAGGGGTGAGTAGGGCGTGGGCCTAAGAGACCCAGGTTAGGGTACGGTGAGTTCCAGGTATTGTTGCCGTCGTAGGATTGCCGCGGTCGTGAGCCGTTTTGACGTCCGCGACCCCTGCCCCGATTTCCACCGCCACGGCCTTGTCCTCGTCCATAGCCTCCACGTTTCCCGGAGTTGCCTTCCCCATAGCCGCCGGGAGTACCGCCGTAGGTGTTGCCGCCGGCTCGGGTCGTGAGAAACGCCATGGTGCCCGAGACGGAGGGACTCGTCCGTTGTCGATCCAGCAGCATGAGGGCGGATCGAACCTGCAGAAACATGGGCATGGGATCCTGAAATTGCATGAATGATGTTTGTGCCTGGAGATCGGCAGGGAGACCACGAAGCATTTGAAGGACGAGTTGGTGTTGGGAGACTGGTGCATCCACGTCATCCAACCAGTCGACAAGATTCTGCCGTTGTTGGCAATAAGCTGCCATGGTTGAGTTACCCTTGACCGTCGTGCGGAATTCATGCTCCAATTGCATAGCTCGGGCATGTTTGTTGTCGTGGAACAAGTCGTGGATGACTTTCCAGAGAGCAGAGGCAGTAGAAACAGAGGAGATGACCAGATCTGAGGCCTCATTAGTGATGGTGGAGAGGATCCAACCCTGGAGGAGAGCGTCGAGTTGGAACCATTCGTCGTCGTCATCGGAGAGGGGGACGACGGAGCCATCGATGTATCCCTTGAGGTTGAACCGCCGAACGAGAAGAAGAAAGAGTCGGCTCCACTTTTTGTAATTAGGTTGGGAGAGACTGAGTGGAACGGGGACATGAAGTTTCACATTTGAGAATGTTGTGAAAGCAAGATGAGGAGGTTTGGAGGAGTTATTTTGGGAAGTAATCTCGCTGTTTTCGGCCATGGTGAGGGGAAGAAGAAGACCGCCGAGGGGAAGAGGGTGTCGCCGGTGAAGAGAGCCGCCGTGGGGGGGTCGGCGCTGACGGCGAGAGAGAAGGCCGAACGAGAGAGAGAGGGGGGGTTTATGGTTTTTGATTTTTAGGCTCCTATACCATGTAGAAAGGTTAATTTCATTGATTGAATATGTGGGAGTACATGTCTATATATACACAAGGATTCCTAATCCTATACAAGGTAGGAGACAATAATAGGAAACATTATATTCCTAATCCTATACAAGGTAAGAGACAATAATAGGAAACAATATATTTACATTAAATATAGAATATATTTAACATAGATTTTGTAACTTCTCATAATAGACATAACAGTAGTGTATACATTTTCTTCTTCTATTTTTTTTTGAAATATTTTTAATTATAAATATATTTGTGTGTGTGTGTGTGTATACACACACTTAATAAATTTAATTTGTTAGAGCAAGTCCATCTTTCAAACATTCATGCTACATGCAGTAAATAGTAATCCCACCAATTAATCAAATTAAATTTAACAAATTAAAAATATCTAATTAATCTAATCACGTACTCCCTTCACGTTGATCTCTTACTCAGTTTTTAGCAATATTCTTGTGTTTATGAGCGGTCATCAATGTTAATGATGAAGCTACGAGCAATTAGGGTTTATCACATATTTTCGTAACAATAATCCAACATGTTTTAGTTACGGACAACTCTATGTTGCAATTTCAAAAGTAAATAATCGTAGTGGGTTGAAGATTCTAATATGCAATGAAGACACTATTCTCATAAATTGTTCAAATAATGTAGTCTATAAAGAAGTCTTTCGAAATTTGTAAAGCAGTGATATTTTGTATCTTAAAATAATATAATCTCTATATTTTATTGCATCTCATTTTTTATCATTGAAAAATGATTTGAATTTAATAACATAAAAATTACTCATGCAACGCACGAGTGTGATACTAGTACTATGCAAAATAATTAAAAAGGAATTATATTAAATTGGAAAAACTTACAACTTCCGTACAAGCGGAGTAGAAAAGATCTGAAGAGAAATCCCTCGAAAATACTTCTAAAACTAACTACTTTACTAATCTATAAGTTGAAATAGAGGGGGGAAGTATATAACTAGAAAATATGAGGAATGGGATGGAATTGACTATGCAAATGAAGAGAGGAGGCGTTGATTTTATAGGGTCGGATGCAAAGCGTCAAGATCTGGATGCTTGGCTACGTGTCTCGGCCAATCTGCTTCTGCCACGTGTCATTCTTGGCTGCAATTTAGGTGAAGCGTCCAACTCCAATCACCCAAGTTGGATGCCTCAAGCCGCTGGTCCATTGGGCTTCGCGGTCAGTTCGTAAATTTGGCCTAATTTCACTTTTTTTCCTCCGAATACTATTTTTGACCTCCTGGAAGCTCGTTCAAGCCTAAATATTGATCCCTTGATGATTCTTTCTCCTTTTCTCGAGTATTTGAACATAAAATGGATGATTTGTGATGATTTCATGGGGAATCCATTTTTATCACTCTTAAAACGAAAATGAGAGTTTTATTCATTGAAAATATATTTTATGAGATAATTAAATTCTATTTACGTGCAATAATGTTTAGAATATGATGTAAAGGATAGCTTTTAGTTGGCCGATATCTAATAGACATTTTAGGTAAAGAACTTTTTAGAGAATAAATCTAAATTATAAGGGATCATGCAAGTAATTATTACTTATTAAAGACTAATTTGGGGAAATATCTTATTAGAAATGACTATTATAAGAATTATTTAGGGAATAAATCTAAATTATAGAAGATCATGCATTTAATTATGGCTTATTAAGGACTAATTTGAAAAAATATCTTATTAGAAATGACTATTATGAGATTTTACTCTAAAATATAAAAGGAGGCGTTCCCATGACATTGCTTAGCAATGTCATGGGATGACTCTTAAGCCGTACGAGGCTCCGTTCGTAGAATTGATAATTCCTACCCTTCCTAAGCCCTCAGATAAACCCTCCCATGCCGCCCCACCTACTTCCTCATCCCCTTCAAGTGCATCTCCCAAGTTTAATTTTGATTTCAAAGTCAATTAAACTCGAGGGATGTAATTGAAGGGGGTGTGCGGTGGGTTCGGGAGTGGCGGGGTAGAGGTGTCTACCAAGAGCGTTAGGAGAAGTAAGTATAGTTAATTTTACAAATAGAGTATCGTACAGTCTTCAAATCATCCCATCACACCCACCCTGCTCCGAACCCATGATCATCCTATGACATTCTTTAGCAATTTCAAAGAAACAAAGATGAATTTATAAAATAAAGATTAAGATCACAAAAAATTTGGACCTCAAACCCATGTGGCCGTGTCACATCGTTCATCGTAAAAACAGTGAGACATAGGACCATTTTAGTAATCTTACTTCCTGAAATCAATTATGCCTCCACTCAATCGCCCCCCTTTGCCGACTTTATCAAACCCATCCCTCCCTCTGATCCTGTCTCTATTTTTCTTCCTCGAAGGCCCCAAACCAAACACGCCCTCCCCTCCCCCTCCCCCTCCCCGTTTTTATTTCCAGTATTCTCGTTTCCATTTCATCGACGTTTAATTCTATCTTCAGAAATCATCAGAATCAGATGGCTCAGAAACGGGAGGAAGAAACCGAGCTCAAACTTCCCAAAACCTTATCCGTATGCGTTCCAGCGATTCAGATTTCCCCACAGCTCCCCGGCGGTGATGATCCGGCGAAATCTCTAAAGTTGTCCCCCGGCGATGCCGTGCGGTCGTCTGAGAGCTCAGATTCAATAGATCCTCGCGCGGATGAATCCAGATCTGGCGCCGCGAGGTCAACGGAGAGGCCGGATCCGATCGTTTCTCATCCCGGCGGGAAGGAGGCGGCGGAGGAGAAGGAGGATCGGCCCCTGAAGAGGCCGAGGGAGGTCAGCCGGTGCACCGGGAATGGATGCAGGCGGAAAGTCGGGTTGATCGGATTCCGTTGCCGCTGCGGGGAGGTGTTCTGTTCCGAGCACAGGTATTCGGATCGCCATGACTGTACTTTCGATTACAAAGCGGCTGGACGCGATGCGATCGCAAGGGAAAATCCGGTGGTTCGAGCTGCTAAGATTCTAAAAGTTTGACAGATATCAAAATCTTTAACGACAAAGTGAGAAGATGATATATATATATATATATATATACCCAAGAGAGGGAGAGGGGCTGGGGGAGGGGGAGATTGGGGTAATCTGAATGTTCATGTTAAGACAGGTTTCATGGACTAGAATGAATTAACGAATGAATTGGTGTTTGCTTTTATGTGAAATTGATAAATCAAGTAAGAGTGTTGTTTGTTATTTAGAGTATCATCATAGTGCGCAACTATTTGGTTTCGTTTTTCTTTCACTTGGGACGTTTTGTGGTGTATGCAACTACTCGTAGTAAAGATGAATGAAGAACGCCATGTCGCCATCCTTCGTGTATTCTTCAGAAAATTTTATCCAATGTGTTTTGGATTTGCTTTACGTGTAGATCCAGAATAGTTCATTCTCATTTTAGCTCGAGAAATCACAAAAAAGTGTGAAACATTGCATTTATCTCTAAAATAAGAGTAATTAGGCCCCTTTTTTGTTGGAAAAACAGAAAAAACTGGAAAAAATTAGAAGAAATTGAAAAATTTTTGGATAAAACTCGAAGGATTTAGAAAAAAATTGGAAGAACTAAGAAAGAAACAAAAACAAGTGGGAAAAAAATAGAAAGTGAAAAAAGACTAAAGTGAAAAACTTTGAAAAAAATACTAAAATAAGAGCTCTTTGATTTTATTCACAAAATAAAAATTAAAATACATTTACAATGTAAATCATGACATATACACATAGGGGTGTAAACGAACCGAATCGAAGCGAATACCGAAATATTTGAATTTGTATTTGTTTAATTTTTTCGAATACGAATCCGAACCCGAATATGAGACGAATTCAAAATAAGATTTGAATAAGTATTTGATTAATATTCGAATAGTTATCGAATCATAAACGAATATTTGAATAATCATACTATGTAATTTATATGATGGACCAACATCAATTTGTAATTTAACTTACGATATTCTTTATACTATACTATATTCCGTATATAAAAACATTAATACATCTGCATCTTACACAAATTATATTTTATAAAATATAACTATTAAAAATCATATGCTTTAGATTTTCGTGTTACGTTAATTTATTGAATTCTTAGTATTTTAAATACACTTTATACTATATTACTTTGCTTGACTTTTGATGTTGAAAACATGGTCTGTGTATATATACATATATTCGAATATTCGAATATCATCCGAATCGAATATATCCCTATTTGTATTTGTATTTGATTAATATTCGAATCAAAAATAATATTTGAATTTGAATTTGTATTTGAATAACGCGAATTCGAATCATCATATTCGAATACAAATCGCGAATCGANTGCATCTTACACAAATTATATTTTATAAAATATAACTATTAAAAATCATATGCTTTAGATTTTCGTGTTACGTTAATTTATTGAATTCTTAGTATTTTAAATACACTTTATACTATATTACTTTGCTTGACTTTTGATGTTGAAAACATGGTCTGTGTATATATACATATATTCGAATATTCGAATATCATCCGAATCGAATATATCCCTATTTGTATTTGTATTTGATTAATATTCGAATCAAAAATAATATTTGAATTTGAATTTGTATTTAAATAACGCGAATTTGAATCATCATATTCGAATACAAATCGCGAATCAAATTTAAAATATTTGATTTGTTTACATCCCTACATATACATTACCAAGTGCTATAGAGAAATGTACATGTACAGTGATACATTAGCATAGTCTGAACTTTTATTTTGGTAATAAAACCTGAAGCTTTTATTTTGGTACTTTTTCTATTTTTTACTCCTATTTAAAATATTTTTTTAAAATCGGAGGAGTTAAAAGGAATTAGAAGAAATTAGAAAAACTAAATAAAAGGAAGAAACTAAGAGTTGGAAGAAACAGAAAATATTTTAAAATTTTTTGAAAGAGTTTAAAGAAAATTTTTAAAGAATTTTTTTAAAAAATTTTAAAGAAATTTTTAAAGAAATTTTAGGCAACGAAGGTACTTTTAATATACATCTAACATATGTATATTTATAAAATAAACAAAATTAATTTTAAGGAATTATTTTTTCACGTATTGAATATGCTTATAACATGTTCATTATTAAAATTATTAGTGCATGCACATTTAAAAGTTATGTTATACTTAATGAATGAAAATTGAGTGCACAATTATTTTGGTCAAAATTTTAAAAAGTTGACTAGAATACATTTAAAGAAACATAGGTAACGAAAATTTCAAAATCACTAAAAAAAAATTTAAATTAATTAATTTAAGATTTTAGTAATTGACGTGGCTTTATATACAAAGACACAACCCTTAACAAATTGAGACATTAAATTAATTTTTCATTTTACTTAGATAATAATAATAATGATAATATCGATAATAATACTATATGAAAGTAAAACTAAATCTTTTTAAGTCATTGTTTAAAGAAATTGAAAGAAGTAGGAAGAAATCGGAAAAAATAGGAAAAACATGAAGAAGTTAAAAGAAATTGGACGGACTTGGAAGAAATTGGAAAAGTTGGAAAAACGTGAAGAAGTTGGAAAAAACTGGAAGGGATTGGAAGAAACTAGGAGTTGTAAGAAATTAGAAGGAGTTGAAAGGTTGGAAGTTAAAAGTTAACGTTCAAAAGAACAAAGCTTTATTATTACTATGTTACAATCCAACATTAAATATTGGTACTCCACAAGGCTTATTTAAAGAAATCATCCCGAATAAGAGTAAATCATAATTTTTATTCTCAAAATAAGAGTTTCATACTTTTATCATCAAAATAAAAGTTTTCATTGTGATATTATGGTATTATATGGTGACATCCAACTGTTTTTTAAACTATATATTAATATTATCAGCATTATACTCTTATTTTGAGATAAAATATGAAGCTCCTATTTTGACAACTTATCCATGTTTGACTCATACTTGAGTCTTTTTCTCTATTTTTTAATACTCTTTCCGTCTATTTTAATCTTCCCAATTTGACCGGGCATGCTGTTGGGTTCTACACTTAGATGGGCAGTGGAAATATAAAATTTTTGTCCAAACATAGATCTACCCAAGACCTCTTATGATCATTATAAGTTATTGTTAAGGAATTACACCTTTCCTTGAGCAACAAGCAACGTTGTGTGCGACTAACGAAATTGGTCCAAGAGCTAGTCACAAATAAATCTAACCTCCGTTGCATACACACAAATTTTGAATGGTGTTCTAGAGAAAAAAATATGCTAGTAATTTTCTCTAGAATATTTCTAAAATATAAAATATTTGGAGTAAAGAGAGCTAACAAATTTTCTTCCTCTTATTGTGATGGCCGAAATTCTCATCATCAATAGGAGAAGGGATTATGTCTTATTTATAAGGAGTATAATCACCCTTAGTTTCCTAATCCTATTAGGTATCTACCTTTTAACACTTAAGAAAGAAATAAAATTCTTCTCCTAATACAATTATGATTTTTGGCCCTGTCATTTGGAAACTTTCAATTTATTTTCTCAACCTTAATTATCACAAAATAAATAATATAACATTATATATATATATACACACACACACACACACACACACACATATACATATATATATACACACACACACACACACACACATATATATATATATATATATTCGAAATAAATATATAAATACATATATACATATATACATATATACGGCAATATATATTATATATATATATATACGCACATATATATGATTATATATTTATATTATATATTGTAACACCCTAATCCGTCCAGGTTTACAACCCCTTCCGAACTAAAGTATTAACTTGGTAATCGTATAATTTAAAACATTTCAAATAACTTTATTCATCATAAATGAAATTTCAAACATAATTGTAGTAAATACGGAGTGTTTAATGCGGAAGCGATTTTTAAACATGGTTCATAATAACAGAATCATTTATTTTCTCAATAAATCCACCACGACTGTCTCGCCCCTTCCGCTGCCAAGAACATGCCATTCACTCATTCTGTCTACCTGCGTGTAGCAAATAAAACATACTACACGCTCAGCGATGAAGCTGAGTAAGCATATCTAAAGCGTCGAACATCCAAATAAATCGAATCTCAATTCATAATCAACCATTTGATATCATGCACACAATATATGATTCAAACATTCATGATATTCTCAATATTTTATTCCAAGTCATTCGATATTCAATATCTCAACCATGCTCTTAAATTATTCTTAATCTAAGG